CCTATCTAAAAATACTTTATATAATGATTTAATAGCTTATTAATTTGTTAAATTTGTAGATAATTAGCTTTATGTAGTGTCACAATTGAGTACAAAATACTACTGGTAGTACTCCTAAATCCTATCCATTAAATATTATGAAAATTATGGAAAATATAACACTTATTCTAGATTAATTTTTTATTTAAATGAGAAATCTTATTTCAATTTCTCCTTGTTAAACGACTTTATTTTCATACAACAAACTGGTTGTGAATTATATTCATATAAACAAACTATTAAACAACTTATCTTTAAACGAAGAATTATATGATTTTCAATTTGAATTATGAGAAGAAAGACGTAAAAGAAAAGAAGAATTTGACCAATATTAAGGTGAAATTTATAATCGTATGCTAATGTAAATAACGCTACGTTTAATTTGAATCGGGTTAACTATATACGTGGGAGGTTGCAACGAAAGATTGAGGATTTACTGAAAATCAAAATTGGGACAACCAAAATGGAAAGAAAAATAGAAACCGATAACGCTATCCTTGAAAATTTATTAAAAGAAAGAATATGCTGACTTTGTTAACGTCGATACTATAAAAGGAGAAAAATATCTAGAAGAAAAATTTAATTTAACAACAGAAATAACCAAATATTTTTTAGAAGTAAAGAAAAGAAGACCTTCCGACATACCTTACAACCCTAACCCTAAAACTTTAGAGAATTCTTTGAGTTTGTTGAAATACGTTTATTGTAAAAGTTATAAGAATGATAATGCGTACTTTATAGTTAATCCTATAACTTATAATTTACCGTAGGGGAAATAAAGATTATCAATTATGATCCGGATGGACGCAAACATACAACACAACAACATTCTAAATTACGTGCAGTTGTACTTATTGTATATGCCAACTCTGAAAGTGAAAATCATTACATTGGTGAAGTGTATTATTCGATTGCAAACTTTTTTGAATTGGCTGAAAATTATATACTATTGCCATTCGAATGGAGAGATGAAGTGAAACCAGAAGACCTTTATGAAGTTGACTACGGAAAAATAAAGAAAAAGGCAGAAACTATTTTGGAGATACTCGAAAAATTAGCAATTTGATAAAGACATATTAAGTTCATTAAAAAATTAAAGTATTACTAGTTTGTGTTATACTTGCTGACAAAACTATTGGGATTTGGGACAAATTTTAATATTTGGGATGAGATTTGGGATAATTTTATTATATTTGGGATTTGGAATTTGAAAGAGATTTTAAGAATTTATAGTTTTGCCAATATGTATAGTTTGTGTATAAAGAGATTCTTTATATTATCATTATGATTTATTTTGATTTCTTTTAAATTTCTTTTATTCTTTAGTATGGAGCTCTCGAAATTGTTATAAATAAAATTTTCTTTCACTAGCAAATTGACTGTATTAGAATGTAGGAACTTATCCGCACATGTGATAATTGATCAATGATTCGATTATGATTCTATGGGTTCTATGTCAATATCCCGAAAGTCAAAATCCCGAAAATTAATTGTCATGTCTAGGGATGGGCAATGTAATAATTATGTAATCGATAGCTAAAATTTAATCCTTACATATTTTTATAAATTATTACATATTATTAAGTAATCAAGTTATCAATTACAAGTAAACTACGTATATCAAT